GAGGCATTCAGGAATGGAGAGGTGAAGCAACTTTCCCAAAGTCACACAGCAAGTGAGAACAGCGTCACACCCATCCGTCCATCCATCCATCCATCCATCCATCCATCCATCCATCCATCCATCCCTAGCTTCCAGCTTCCTACATTCCATAGGTTTTGTAATGGAGAAAGAACAGTGAGCAAAAGAGAACTGGTGGTTGCTCTTGGAATCAGTGGGACCTGATGAACAGCTAGTGAATAATCACATAAAGGCAGAACTCTATCACCGCACAAGTCTACAGTACCATGGAGGTATGCAATGGGGAGGTGCTGACCTGGGAGATCAGGGGTCTCTTCTTGGAGGAGGTGAGGTTGGAAGAGGAGTGCAAAGGCTTGGGGAATGAGGGGACAGTGTTTCCTTAAGAACTAGACGATGCCCATTATGTCTGGAGTGAAAATAGAAAAGGGGGTCATGCTGTTGGGAAGCTGGAAGAGCCAACAAGTGAAGACTCAGTCATGGTGGGCCTGGTGTTCTCTTCATCCTGGCAACAGCAAGGAGCCATAGGGTCACTTAGGTACTCTGATGCCACAGTAGCAAAGGGAAACCTACCTTAGAAGGGAGTTGGCAAAGGGGAAAGATTGGATGTACCTAGAGCAGGTGGGAATAAAACAGTGGCCTGCTGGGTGGTAGAGAGACATGGCCAAATTCAAGAGAGAAGATGGGGGGGGCGGCTTTGGTGCTCTTAGACACAGGTTGAATAGGGCAGCATATGATTCCTGATGGGCACGAGATGGTATAGAGAATATTAGGATTGTGTGGCCTTGGAGGAAACTAAAGTGAGTCAACACTTAATTCTATGTAGGAGACATGAGGAGCAAAGCCAGAGAGGAGGTGTGAGTAGGGTATCTTGGAAGCCAAGAGAAGAAAAGGCTCTAGGGAAAGTGAGTGGTCACCAGAGTCTAGTGCGACTGGGAGACCACACAGATGAGATGCCACTTGGATGTAGTTGAGGTACAGTGCCCACAAGGGACTCAAGAGAGAATAATATATATTAGAAGTGTATACCAGGATTTGACATACTTACCTACTATGAACGATACCATGTGATCAAACTAACACTTCCACCCCTTTACAGCTATTCTTTTGTGTGTATTTGGTGAGGATGCTTAAGACTCACTGCACTTAAAGTCTACAGTGTAATATTAATTATAGTTACCATACTATATAGTAGGTTTCCAAATGAATTCACCTTATAAATGGATGTTTGGACTCTCACCAACATCTGCCTATTTTGTCCATCCCTAGACCCTGGCACTACTCTTTTGCTCTCTGTTTTGTGAGTTCAATGAGATTCTACTTTAAAGGAAATAATGTGGTATTTGTCTTTATATGCCTGGCTTATTTCACTTAACATTATATCTTCCATGTTAGAGGAAGTTACTATGACATGTATATGTGTGTGCATATATTTATGTATGTGTGTGTGTGTGTGTGTGTGTTTGTGTGTGTTTGTATGTGTGTTATTGCCCCATTCATTGATGGTTAGATGTTTAAGTTCATTCCCTGTCTTCATGTGATGTTGTTATAACAATACAGGAATACAGATATTGCGTCATGAAACTGACTTCCTTTCCTTTAGATATGTATACAGATGTAGGATTGATAGATCTATACTAATCCTATTTTAATGTTTGAGGAGTTTCCACAATGTTGTCCAGGGTATGAATTTTCATTTCTAGCCATAGAGAGATTTCCTTCTTTCCACACCCTCACCAATATGTGCAATTTTTACTGCATTTAATTAATTAATTTTGTATACCTGAGTGTTCATGGAGTGGAGTGTTACACATACCGTGGTGAATGTGTAGTCAGAAAACTTGTGGGAATCTGTTCTTTCCTATATATGTGCGTTCCAGGCCTCAACTCAGGTTGTCAGTCTTGGTGACAAACACTTTTACCTTCTGAGTTGTCTCAAATGCCCCAGTGCTGGCTACTTCTTGTCTTTCTGATAACAGCCAACTTAACAGTTATGGGTGGGATGGCCTTCAAGTTCTGATTTGGATATCTGTGGTGATTAGTGGATATCTATCTGTGGTGATTAGTAGCACTGAGTACTTTTCCTACACCTGTCACACAATTGTATGCTTTTTTTTTTTTTTTAGACATTTTCATGTCATGTGGGCTAGCCTTGAATTTATTATGTAGCCAAGATGATGACCTTGAACTTCTGCTCTTCCTCAGTGACCAAGTGCTGACATTACAGGTGTGCACCATCATGCTAGGTTTATGTGGTGCTGGGGACCAAACCCAGGGCTTGGTATATGTTAGGCCAGCACTCTACCATAGCTATACTCCCAGCCGCCTTTGCCTGTTTCCAGCTCTTTGTTTTGAGAAAGGGTCTCACTGTGTATCCCTGGCTGTCCTGAAACTCACTTTGTAGACCAGGCTGGACAGAACTCCTGGAGATCTGCCTGCCTCGGCCTTCCTGTAGCTGGGACCAAAGGCAAGTGTTATCATAGCAGGGCCCTTTTAAAATCAAGTTGATTTTCTGGTACTGGGGAGTGTAAGCTCTCCATATGCTCTGGGCATTGACTCCTCATTAAATGTGTGGTTTGCACGTGTTTTAGACCATTCTGCTTTTTCAAGTCAGTGGTGGTTTTCCTTGCTGCATGGGGTTTTCATCTTCTTGTCACCCACTTGTTTATTTTGCCTTCATGCTTATACTTTTGATGTCAAATTAAAAAAAAAATCATTGCCAAGACCAATGTAAGGATCCTAGGGAAAACTGTTTACTTCTAGATCTTAACAGTTTGGGATTTTACATTCAAATGTTTATAATTAAAAAACACACACATTGAAATACCCATATGAGAAAAGACTCCAGTGGACTTTCTTACTGCATACTTTGTTGTTCTATATTGTAATCAGACCGGGGAAGACATCAAATTTGTTCTAGGGTCTAGGACCCAGCTCTAGGGCCTTGGGAGTTCTTGGTCCTCTCTCTCTAGGATTCCTACCTGGGGCTGGGGGTTAGCACTGAAAGCCATCTCTGGGTCCTGGCAGCTGGGCCTGCATTCCCAGAAGCCCTCCCTTCTCCTTTTCATTTGCATCTCATTAGCACCACTTGGAGCTGCTGGCAGCTCAGCTTGGAGCTCTGGGACCAGGCTGTAGCCTGGCACAGGCCCTGCTCCCATCATGAAAAGGGGAGTAGGGACATACGCCTCCCATTTTCTATCCTACAGAGGGACTAGGATGTTCTCAGGTCTTTACACTCCCATCCAGACTCATGTTCCCTGGACTCCCCTCCCTTGCATGTTCCTATGGTAACAGGGTGATGGTGTAGGGGGTCTTGGAGCAACACAGCCATCCAGCTACCCTCCCCTCCACAGCCCAGGCTGGATTGGTGACAAGCAGGCCTCAATCTCCTGAGAAGATCAGTGATAATTGGTTTATGGAAATAGATAAGAAGCTGAGGGACATTCCCAATAGAAACCAGCCTCCCACCAAGCCAGCTTTCTGCCACCTGTCCTTCTCTGGTTAAGAAATGGGGTTGGGGGAGGGGAGGGCAAGAAGCTGGGCTGGGGCTGGTAGGATTTTCCTGGGCAAACCAGGAAAGAGCTCCACCTGTTGTTCTTCAGCACAGCCTCTATGCCTTGTGGGAGAGGGTGTGTGAGAAGGGCTGCTTGTAATCTTAGCCAAGCTTTGCGTCCTTGGACCATTAGGCTGTGACCATGTTGGGTGCTATGTTGGAAAAATGGAGAATAAGACCTGGGGTCTGCAAGAAGCCTCAGTTCTGGGGACAGACAAGAAACATATGTGTTGCCATTGCTAGGAGATCTACTCAGGCAGATCTGGCTGCCTGGAGGAGGAGGGGTAAGGAAGGCGTTGAAGGTGAAGACTTAGTGGGTGTTCACATGAGTGCTGGGGCAGGCATTTTCCAAAGGGACTGAGCAGTGGGCAGGAAGTGTCTGGGGCAGGCAGGGGTGCAGGCAGGGAGGTGTCAGGTAGAACTGTAGGAGGTCACAGAAACCAAAAAGTCTCCATTCTGGCACAATGCTAATTTCCCTCCAGAGGGAAAGTAGCCGGCTGCTGTGTTGCTTCATATGCTTTTTGAGGAGCAGCAGGCATGGCATGGCAGGCCCTGGCCACCAGGTTAAAGAGAGATAGACAGAGACAGAGAGAGAGACAGAGAGAGAGAGAGAGAGAGA